AGGGGGGGGGGGGGGGGGCACAGCTATGAAGGGACATTCAGTGTTCAGGGTATTCAGTGTCGGAGGGGGTGCTTTCTGGTGTAAAAGATGGGTCTGCAGGTGTGGTGGTGAAAGTAAGGCAAAGTGTTCCAAGGCACATTGAGAGAGAGGAGGGATAAAGACACCATGGTAAGGGGAGAGTGTTGACAGCAGGGGTGGGTAAAGGCATGACAGCACAGTGTTTTCGAAGACCTGTGATTCCTGCAGGCATATAATGAGAGAGTGAAGAAAGTATAGTTATGAGAGGAGGGGTACAGCTGTGGTGGTGTACAGTGTGGCCTGCAGCGCTAAGATCATAAGGATTGGTTGGTGAGTGGAGGGGAGTGTTTGTACTGTTAGCAGAGAACATGAATGTGCAAGGAGTTGCTGGGAGCGTCAGAACAGAAAACTGAACAGAAAACTTGTGGAATGTGATCAAGGAAGGAGCACATTTTCTTTTTTCTTGTTATGTGTATTTTCTATTTCTCTTGCTATGTGTTAGCTGTGCAATTGCTCTAGGAGGTGAAATCTACTGGCAAAATGAAAATTATGTATGTTAGTGGTGAGAAAGTTAGTGGTGAGAAACTGTAACGGTTTTATGTTATTAAGGTCTTACACGTGCCAGTGTGATATGGTCACGCTATGACACGTGAACGGTGACTACTGATGCGATTTGTTTTCCTCCATTTTTTGGGGAATGGGTTTCAAAGCCCAAAGGTTAAAGCGTGTTCCTCTATATACATTTTCTGCAGTAGCTCAATGGAAGACATAGACCCCGTGCATCATGTTGTTTTTGCATGTGTTCATTATGTATAGGGACATAGCCACTAGGTATGGCCCAGCCTTTCAATTTGTCCTAGCGTTTAGCCTCCTAGATGCAGAAGTGTATACCTATAAGCCAAAGACTGTGTACCTCAATGAACTACTGGAGAAAAGGATTTTACTTTGAGAACAAATGTCGAGTTCTTCCAGTGGAAAATGTTGTTGGTACCCATGTTTTCTATCGCTGTTTATTAACATGATGCCTTCAGTTGTAAATCTCATGGTTTTTTCCCATTCCTCACAGATGCACACTCCAGATATTGGGGGCCAGGGTACCACATCTGAAGTTGTACAGGCCATCTGCAGGCAGATCATTGTCAAGAATGGCCGAGCAGTAACCATTTAAGGTGAGCTTATCCAAATGTTTGTGTTATAATGTCAATAACCCCTTTGTATTATACTGTATAGTTTGCTTTAAGACTACAAATGTTATTCATAGTGTGTATCCTCCTTTCAAGTAAAATGCCAGAGATTAATCCCAATGGTGAATAGTCCGACAGCAGTAGAATTGCAGTAGTTAGCATTGGTACTTATTTTTATTATTACTTATTTAGGAATGTTCATATTTGTTCCCTTTTGACTTAAAAAAACTAAATATTGACCACATACATATTGCAATCTGATGATGCAGTTGTCTTTAGATTTATAACGTTTGTGGTGTAGTGGCTCACCTGAATAGATAAAACATTAAATGGAGGGGGGGCCTGGCCTGAAGCGGGACCAAGATGGACGCTTGAATCTTTTCCTCCAGCACACGCGCTCCCATCTATCAGCATGTCTCTCGTTCATTGAAGGGCACGAAACAGATCGTAGATCATGTATCACAAGGTATATCGCCACCTGCAGGGGAAGGGCGCTAGGCAAAAGACAGACAGCCTAGGGGTGGCCTCTGCTGGTGGCTATACCCCCCACCTGCTGACAAGTCTCAATTGTTTTGCCTAGTGTCAGGAGTAAGGAGCTTTTGAAAATAAATTCTCTGAAATATTTTACGTTTTTTGCTCCCTTTTTTCGCTGTATCTTCAAGCAAGTGCTGTCAGGGCAACATGCGGGATGTATGTAGATCCTTGTAGTCTTCCTGGTACGACCGACGAGCGCATGCAGACTCTGTCACGGTGGGACGACTGATTTCTTTTTTTATGCCACCTGTGGTTTTATCCGGTGGGGTGCATATGACTCGGGGTCTCGGCCTACCAGTCACAGCACTCCACACAAGCTGGCAGCACTGCAACTGAGATCAGGGCCGTTTTGTCCACCATCCCTGCATGCCCTAGTTGCAGTGTTATGCTCCCGTGCGGACTTCCTGGAGGTTGTCGTTGTCTCTGGTGTCTGACCATTCCCCTGGAGGTATGTATGGCGGTCTACTGTGGGGGCCGTGCGGTGGGAACCTGTCTGCTAGTCAGCTCTTGGTGGGGTTGTGGCCCTTGTGGGAGTACAGCGCAGTGGCTAAGTGTTAGTGCTTCTGCCTTGCAGTGCTGAGGGTCCCTGGTTCTGGTCAGGGCACTGCCTGCATTGAGGTCCCTACGGTTTGGACCTGTCTCTGTAGGTGTTGGTCCGTGTCCTTGCTGCTCTCTCCCCCCCTACCATCCTACCTTGTGGTGTATCCTCCGGTCTTAAGGTGCGTGATGCTCTGCCTTTGGGAGACTGCTACTGGTGGGACAGGTGTGGGGAGCCTGGCTGTGCCCAGACAGTGGCGCTACCTCACCAACGCCGCGGTGGTGAATGGTGTCTGCTTGTCGTCCGGCGGCGGCCGCAAATTTAGTCCCTGGTCTGTGTTGCGGCCTCCGGGGAGGTGTCTGCTTGTCGTCCGGCGGCGGCCGCAAATTTAGTCCCTGGTCTGTGTTGCGGCCTCCGGGGAGGATCCGTGCCCACCATCTTTGTTGAGGGCAGATTCCCTTCTGGTGATGTTACTTCCTCCCTGTGACCGGCCTCGTGTCAGCGGCGGGAGGAAGGGGCGTTCTTTCTCTCGACTGGCTGGCTGCAGATGGATGTGCAGCTCTCCTCCAGACTATCCAGGGTCTTGTGGTTGTTGCTGAGGGACGGACGCTGTTGGTGCCGCTGCTGTGACTTAGACGTGGGATTGTGTGTACTGCTGGGGTCCCTCTCTGACTGCTGCGGTCTCGGTGGTCCTGGGGCAGTTAGTGTGGTGTGGGCGGTGTGTCATGGACCGCAGGGACAAGCAGTCGGCGGTCTCTCTGATGATGCTTCCCATTCCCCTCTATGTGTGGCCTGTACGCCTGCATCCCTTTCCCAGTTGCCCTTGCACCCCTCGGGGTCCTGCATTATCCTTGGAAGTTTTTTTGTCTGCTAGGGATGATTTTGTGACGCGCATTGAACGTGCGTTAACACAGAGGCCCCCTAAAAAGCGCACTCTGTCATCGCCTTCCCCCGTTCTTTCAGGGGAGTCGGAAGAGGAAGGGGAGCTTTCTGTGGTGTTGCCTCGTCCTGACCTTGGGGATTCTACCCAGCCAGAGTTGGCCAGTAAGGACTAGTCGACGGCTTCCCTCATGGTTCAGGAGCGCAAATTGGTCTCTGCTCCGATACGTTCTGTTAGGGAGACGCTCAAGATTGAGGGCGCTCCTAGTTCTTCCGCACTGCTGCTGGTTCAATTTGGGGTGCATAACAGTAGGCGTTCCACTAAGGTCTTCCCTTACATTAATGATGACACCAGGGGGGCACATTAATGATGACACCGTGGGGGGCACACTAATGATGACACCGTGGGGGGCACACTAATGATGACACCGTGGGGGGCACACTAATGATGACACCGTGGGGGGCACACTAATGATGACACCGTGGGGGGCACACTAATGATGACACCGTGGGGGGCACACTAATGATGACACCGTGGGGGGCACACTAATGATGACACCGTGGGGGGCACACTAATGATGACACAATGGGGGGCACAATAATAATGACATCATGGGTGGCACAATAATAATGACACCAGGGCGACACAATAATAATGACACCAGGGGACCCAATAATAATGATACCAGGGGGAAAAAAATAATTACACCAGGGGGACACAATATTAATTAAACCAGGGGGACACAATAATAATGACACCAGGGGGCACGATAATGACACCAGGAGACCACAGTAATAATGACACCAGGGGGCACGATAATGACACCAGGGGGGACACAACAATAATGACACCAGGGGGGACACAAAAATAATGACACCAGGGGGGACACAACAATAATGACACCAGGGGGGACACAACAATAATGACACCAGGGGGGACACAACAATAATGACACCAGGGGGGACACAACAATAATGACACCAGGGGGGACACAACAATAATGACACCAGGGGGGACACAACAATAATGACACCAGGGGGGACACAACAATAATGACACCAGGGGGGACACAACAATAATGACACCAGGGGGGACACAACAATAATGACACCAGGGGGGACACAACAATAATGACACCAGGGGGGACACAACAATAATGACACCAGGGGGGACACAACAATAATGACACCAGGGGGGACACAACAATAATGACACCAGGGGGGACACAACAATAATGACACCAGGGGGGACACAACAATAATGACACCAGGGGGGACACAACGATAATGACACCAGGGGGGACACAACAATAATGACACCAGGGGGGACACAACAATAATGACACCAGGGGGGACACAACAATAATGACACCAGGGGGGACACAACAATAATGACACCAGGGGGGACACAACAATAATGACACCAGGGGGGACACAACAATAATGACACCAGGGGGGACACAATAATGATGATACCAGGGGGACACAATAATGATGACACCAGGGGGGCACATTAATGATGACACCAGGGGGCACATTAATGATGACACCGTGGGGGGCACAATAATAATGACACCAGGGGGACACAATAATGATGACACCAGGGGGGACACAATAATGACACCAGGGGGGACACAATAATAATGACACCAGGGGACACTAATAATGATACCAGGGGATACAGTAATAATTACACCAGGGGGACACCAGGAGACACAATATTATTGATGACACCAGGCGGGGGGCACAATAATGATGACACCAGGGGGGGCACAATAATGATGACAGCAAGGGGGCCACAATAATAATGACGCCAGGGGGACACAATAATAATACCAGGGAGGGCACAATAATAATGACACCAGGGGGGGCACAATAATAATGACACCAGGGGGGGACACAATAATAATGGCACCAGGGGGACACAATAATAATGACACCAGGGGGACACAATAATAATTACACCAGGGGGGATACAATAATAATGACACATGGGGGGCACAATAATAATGACACCAGGGGACACAATAATAATGATACCAGGGGGGACACAATAATAATGACACCAGGGGACCACAGCAATAATGACACCAGGGGTACACCAAGAGACTCAATAATAATGACACCATGGGGGACACAATGATATTGACACCAGGGGGACACAATGATATTGACACCAGGGGGACACAATGATATTGACACCAGGGGGACACAATGATATTGACACCAGGGGGACACAATGATATTGACACCAGGGGGACACAATGATATTGACACCAGGGGGACACAATGATATTGACACCAGGGGGACACAATGATATTGACACCAGGGGGACACAATGATATTGACACCAGGGGG